TATTGTTAGAAAATTCTGAATTAGATAATTCTTCTGTATTAAGCAGTTGTAATTTGTGTTATTTTTTGCTTTGATGTTGGCTGATTGTTGCTAGTATTGCTTTAGCTAATGATTTGCTAATTCCTGCATTTGTATGTTGTGAAAAGGAGGGGTGTTTGTTTTTTCTAGTATAGGTCTTGTGTTTGGCCTGTATAGTACTATTTGGTGTCTCTACTTTGGGCTAAGTTTGTATATTATTTACGATTGTGCTTGCAATAAGATCAAATATTAGTTCATCCTCTTGTGTAAAGTTACTTGTTTGTAATAGTTCTTTATCTGTATTTAGTTTTGTGATTATGTTGTAAGGTATCACTAAGAGGTCTTTAATGTGTTTAGGTATCTTATATGTCTTCTGTACTTTTTTATATAACTAAATAATTAAGTTAAGGTTACAGCTTCATGTATTTCTGGAAAATTTGGTGCTAATGCTTACAGAGTTGTTTTTGGTAGTTGTAAAGTCAAAAAGTATTGATTGGAAGGTTTCTTTGTGCTTGTATAACCATTGTGTTGGAAAGATAATGAGGTTAGAGACATGACCAGATTTGGTAAGATTAACTGTAAAAAGATATTTATTAGTAAAGTCAAAGACAAGAAAAGTGACAGTAAAGGTAAGTTTAATAGAGTCTTTTATATTAATACTAATAAATTCTTTTGTGTATTCAATAAGAGAGTTGGTGGTTGAGGTTGTAGGTAAAGGATTTTTTAAAATGATAGGTTTACTTATGAAATAAGCTAAAAGAGAAAAGAAAAAGATGCTTTGGGAGGTTGTTTGGTTCAGAGTTTGTAGTGGGTTAGTTTGTAGGTTTTCTGCTATTTTTTTAGTATTTTTTGAAGCTAACATCTTGTGTCTATATGCTGAGTTAGTAAAAATATAAAGATTCTTAAAACCATTTTCACTGAAGTACGAGTTGTTTTTTGCAGTATTGTTTTTGGTATTGTTGCTATTCAGGGCTGCTAGTAGAAGGTTTTTCTGAGATTAACACCTCTTTTAGGTCACGTTTAGTGTATAAAACAAGTTTAATTAAAGCCCAAGTTCAGTTTATTTAGTGGTTATTGCTATATTCTTGCTAGAAAGTTTTTTGCTTTTTGTTTAGTTTGGGTAAAATAATCTACAAAAAGAGTTTACCTGATCCACTATTTATAGAAGATTTGACTTATATATATATAATTTTTGTAAGTATATTGGGTAATTGATTGTTTTTGCATTTGTATATATATTACTACATGTTTGTTTAATTGTTAATTATAGTTTCTACTACTAAAACTAATGCTTTTGCTCTTATAGAGTTCTAGTTTCTAACTGATACTATTGAAAAGATTCTATTTTTTCTATTCAGGACTTCAAGATGGGTTTTTAGTCTTTACATTCAGATTGGGTAAGTTCTTAGTTCTTTATTGGTTCCTCATTAGCATCTTTTATTAAACTTATACCAAAATTATATCTGTCTATTGCCACTTAACTAAATATATATATTTGATTTAACATAATATATAACATTAATGCTAGTGTCTAGAGTTACAAAACCAGAGCATAGAACAGTGATACTCCCAACTTCACAGGATATGGTTGATCATTAGGTTATATAATATCTAATATATATATTTATTTAAAAATTATTACTAGTAGGATTTGAACTCTAAATTTGGCCATCTTAGATGCAACAACTTAACCACTTTACTAAGTCACTACATTCTTTAATATAATATTAAATATTGTTATAATATAATTTTTATTTTCAAATATTATCAAATAAAATTTTATTTAAATATTTTAAAATTTAAAAAATATAAATCATAAGTATATTTTAACAATTTTCTAGGCAAATTTGTCTAAAAAAGCTTACAGATTAAAGAATAATAATTAAATATATCAATTAGATTAGTTAATATAATTTTTCTTAAAATATTTAAAATTATTTAGTTTTATTTATTTTTTTAGTTTTATAACTAAATGCAAATAAACTGGTACTTAGATCAAAACTATAACCATATCTATTAAGAGTAGATAAGTTGTAACAATTCTTTTTTCAAATTTAGACAATTTTGGATTATTTCTTTATTAAAAAAAATTGCAAAAAAAGCCTAATTAGCTTTCTTTTTTTCTTTATATATTTATATTTCATATTATAGTACAATTACTTAATTATAACTTTACAATTACTCATTTATGACTACAATTGAATAGATAACTATTATGATTATTTTTTTTTTAGTATTAAAATGAGGCCTTGCTCATATCTTTATTAGTAATTTTAGTTGTACATATTAATATACTATATACTAAAATATACTAAGATTGTAAACTACAAAATAAAAACTACATGCAAGAATTAAAGCTCAGACAGTTTTATCTATAACCTAAACCAACTATAGTAGTTAAGGCCTACCTAGATTTGTAATTGTAAGATGTACTTTGATTAATCCAGAATGTCAACTATATATTAATTTTTCTAATAGCTTGTCCAATTAGTAAACAGTATTAACCTGTAGTTTTTTCTTTAACTATAGTGATAACAGAAGCTGCTTAACTATAGTATGATGACTATAACTTGACAGGTTCTATACAAAAGTCTACACAAGACTTAACAAAATACAAAGTAATTTGGGATTTTAAGGCAGAGGCAACAATAAATAGTATATGAAAATACTAAATATTGCATTCAGTTTATTAACTAAAAAATGTATAAAGATACTTTCTATTAAAGTATATAGAAACACATCCTATTGAAGTGTATAAAGACACTTAACTTTCTTGAAGGGTCAGAAAGTAGTACTTTTATAGATATTTTATATATATAAATAATTACAATAAAGACTACTCTATTGCTAATAAATGCTATTTATAGTAATAAGAACTAATAGATATAATATATATAATAGATATAGTAGATATAATAGAAATGATAGATCTGTTAGAAATGATAGATCTAATAGAAATGTAATATCTGTAATATCTGTAAGATCTGTAAGATCTGTAAGAAATGTAAGATTTCTGGCACAGTAATGTGAGTTAACCAGTATCAAGTCACATGTATTATAATTAGTGCTTTTCATTAAAATCATCCTAATCTCATGATCCTGTGATCAGAATCATATGATCTTATGCTCATTAGAATTGTCTTGGTGAGCTGAATCTAATGATGGTTATTTCATCTAAATTGTTCAGTACATCAAAAGTTATGATCAAAAATATGTAAAACTCTTAATGTTAACAACAGATATTAGAATGTAAATGTAATTGGTCTGCTATTCTATATAGATATGAGTATATGTAGTTTATATGTAATCTTTTATAATGTCTGATTTGCTGTATTTGTTGAGAGATATGATTATTATTAAAGCTTAAAAGAGATGTAATAATAATATTTTTTTTCTAGTTAGAAAAGTCAATACAATAAGATTTCTATATTTGATTATAGATTTGGTTATTAATATTAAGAAGTATTTAGATAATAGTTTATAAGGCTATTTAAATAGATATATTGTAGTTATGAATTATTTTAATTAGGGCTTTAGGTATAAAGCCTTTAAGAGTAAGGTCAAAATAGAAAGAGTTTGCTTGAAATAGTATTTGGTCAAATGAAAAATAGTTTTAAATTTTGCAAATAAGTTCATATAGTTGATTAGTAGATAAGTTAAGGTCTGCTTTAGATAAAATATACTAAATTGATGAATTAATAATGTTTATAATAAGAAATGAATTAGAGCATATTAACTAATATGAATGAAAGTTAGAAAAATTGTATTGAAAGCAGTTGATATTTGAAAAGATAATTGAATAAATATTGTGATAAGAAAAATAAATTGGTAGTTAATTTAAAAGAACTTTAATTTTAAAGATTTTAGATTAGTTAAGTTTAAAGCTAGTAAAGTTAGATATGAATTTTTGATTATGATTAAACTAAAGTCATGTAGATTTCTAGTCTATATAGTAGTTGATATAAGCCTATTTGTTATTTCTTTTTTGTGAAGACTACATTGCCAGTATGTGTGTTTTACAGATATTTTTAATAAAATATCTAATAGGAAGTTTAACAAAATTTTGTTTTCATTATAAAATATAAAAAAGATTGTAAATATTTGTATATTGGAAGTTTAAAGTTAAGAAAAAGGTGTGTTGTTTTGCTAAAGAATTGGCCATGTTATTAAAGATATTATCTATATAAGTTTGAACTTTATGAAAGTTAATATTTAGATTAAAGAATTTGATAATATTTAGAAGTATATACCATAAAGGCCATGCATTGAATTTAAAGAGTTTGTTAGAATTATTGAGTTAAGTAAAAGTTTGTAAAATTTAGAGATAACAGATTATGAGTTAGTATAAATTTGAAGTATTACATTATAAGGTATAGTTGAAATTGCTAATAAAATAGAGAAGAGCTCTGCCTTATAGGCTAATAGTCAAAAGATAATTTTAGCTAAGAATTTGTAAAGAATTTGGTTGTTATTATTGACTTGAACCTATTCAATGCCCATTAAGCTTTGTTCAGTTTCAATATCTGTCACTGATTCATCAGTATAAAAAATAAATTGCTTATGACAGATTATTTTAAAAAATTTCTTTAAGTTTGTTTGAACATTCATTAGGTTTAAAAATTTCAGCAATAGTTGAATTTGATATATTGATAGTAAGACAGTTATATGGAATTTGTGAAGGATGTTTAATTGCTGTTGAGTAAATAAGATCTAGATAGTTGGCATTAAGTTTGAGAAGTATTATAATTATTAATGATTTAACATTTGCTCATTTTAATGTAATTCTGATTTACATTATATTTATATAATATATATTTATTTAATAAGCTTCATTGTATGATACATGAATTGTGTAATGTTTCTTTATACTCTTATCTATTTAAAATGGGTTTATCACATTTTTTGAACTCTTTTACTAAGTTTTTATAGTTTTTAAAATTATTTAAGAATTCTTAGATTGCATTATACAATAACTGTCTTTTCTATTTTACTAAATATTGTATATAGTAATAATAAGTTCTTTTGTCTAGTATAGATTCAACTTCTTGTTCAAAAGTTTTGTCTACCATATTTGGAGTTGATTCATTAGTTTCTTTGTCTTCAAACTCACTAGTATAATATGGTTTTAATAAGAATATATAGAAAACTAAATAGATATATAGAGTTTTAGAAAGTTCTAATTAGTAAGTAATTGCTAAAATTTTCTGAATAATTTTAAAAAGATTTATAAATTTTGAAATAAGTTTCTTTGATAGTCTTTTTCTATTTTTTGTGAAGTTAAATTTGCTGTATTCAGTATTACTAATCTTTTTCTTTTAATTCCAAGTAGCATCATCTTTTGTTAGCTTAATTACTTTGTTTTTTTTAAGCATTTACCAATAAATCTTTTGCTACATTTATTATTTCAGTTCAATGTTCAAATAATTCTTGTGCAGCTTTTATGTTTGTGAACTTTATTTTTTTATTTGTTAAACTTAATGGTATTCCTAAATAATGTCTATTATCTAATTGTAATAATGTATATTCTGTAGATCTTTGTAGTGAGTTATTTATGCAAATTCTGTTGCTAGTAAAATTTCTTTTTATTTATCTTGCTTATAATTCATATATGTATAAAAAACTTTTTTAAAAATTTTTTTGATGTATTCTGTCTAACCATCTGCTTGTAGATATTCTGATGTTAATATCTTTAATTCTGTTTCTATTATTTCAAAAAGATTTTTCTAAAATTTACTAGTAAAATTTGGGTCTTTATCAGAAACTATAAGCATAGTAGTCAATAGTATCTAAAAATTTCTTTAAAGAAAATTTGAACAACTTCAGCTGCTATTGCTAAACTTTTGTTAGGTATGAAATATGCTTTCTTGCTTAATTTATTAACTATTCTCATTATTAAATTATTTCTATTTCTTGTATATAGTAGATATGTTATAAAATTTATTGCTACAATTTCTCAAGTTTGCAATAAAATTTCTAAAGGTTGTAGCAATCCTGCTAAGGCTTGTATTGTACTTATGTTTTTTGGCAGCTATTATATTGTCTTATATATTTCTTTATACTTGGCTTATTTTTTTTAATAAAAACTTTGTCTTAATCTTTTATAGATTTTCTTGAATCTGAAATGCCTATTCAAATCATGATTTTCCTTTAGTAATAGTTTTCACTCTTTGGATTCTTTTGCTATGCATAATTTTGAATCTTTTGTACTCTCTCTAAAAAATATAATCTATTTTCTTTTATTTCAAATCTACTTATCTGTTTCTTTAATTGTCTGGCTTCATCACATTTAGGGTCTTCTAATGCTTTTAATATTCTTTTAAAATAAGTATTTTTTTTATATTTTTTTAATTTTTTTATATATATCTTTTTTGATACTAACTTCTGTTATTATATTTGCTTCAGGTTTTTTTAACAATGTGTCTGCTACTACATTGGTTTTTTCTGATTGATATTTAATAATATAATTATAAGCTTGTAAAATTTTAATCTAATAAGCTTGTTTTTGTAATAATTTTGCTTAGAATTATAGATATTTTAATGATTTGTAGTCAGTTATAATTTGGAAGATATTTTCTTCTAGGTATATATATATGCCAACTTTTTAATGCAAAAATTTTTACCAAAAATTCTTTTTTATAAATTAGATAATTTAATTTTGCAGGGATTAATTTTCTTAATTTATATGCTATCAATTGTTTTCTAATCTTTGGTCTTGGCATAATACTGTGCTAATTGCAGTATTTAAGATATTAGTTGTAAGTATAAACAGTTTGATATAATTTGAAATTAGCAGAACTAGAACAGATGTTAATATTTTTTAATATTTTCAAATGCTTTTTCCTAAAATTTTTTTCATTCAAACTTTGTATCTTTTTTTAGTAGTTTGTTAATAAGGTTACAATATTTGAAAAGTTTGCTACAAATTTTCAGTAATAATCTGCAAGCTCTAGAAATAATCTAAGGTCATTTATATTCATAAGTATTGGCCAATTTTGTATTGTTTTAATTTTCTTGAGGTCAATTTTAATTTCTTTATATGATATTACATGCTCAAAATTCTATTTTTTCTTTTTCAAACTTATATATCTTTATTTTTTTATATAATTGTGGCATCTTAAGAATTTAAATACTTCTTTTAAATGCACACAGTGGTTTTCTTTTGTTTTGCTATATACCAAAATATTATATAAATAAACTATAAAACTTTTATCTAGTTGTTTTTAGAAAATATTATTTATTAGTTTTATAAATGAAGTAAAAGTATTAGTTAAGCCAAATGGCATAATTAAAAATTTAAAATATTTATAATGAGTTCTAAAAGCAGTTTAGATACAAGTTACTTTCATTATAATAAACTTTCAATATAGAAAAAATTCATCTATAGTAAAGAATTTTTTTAACCAAAACCAAGTATATTAAAATCTACTCAATATAATAAAGTTACATAGTGAACTCTTGATATAAGGTATAGTAAAGATTTTTTTTATATGAATATAGCAAAATACACTTAATATAGTAAAGTCTATATCATATAACATATATTAACCAATTATATAAAGTGACCAAATTATAACATAATAATAATAGACCTTTTTTTAGCATAATTGAAGCTAAATAAAGCTACATATATATATATTTAATGCTGTTTCTTGCATATAAAAGTAATAGCAGAGACTGTTAATATTATATATATATTAAAACTAGTAAGAGATTATATTTATTACAATTGAATCCAATGTAAATAATTTAATTTGTAATTAATTACAGATAAGAGAGATTTACTTTGGATTAGACACTGTCTCTGCTATATATAAAAGTAATATATATATCTTTTTTACCAAATATATAAAAAGTATAATGTTTAGAAATTAGAATTTTTTTTAACCATTATTGACTTTCAAAGACTTTAATAAAACATATCTTAAAACTATCATTAACTTTCAAAAGCTTTAATAAACTCTGTTACTACTTTAGTATCACACTTAATGTTAAGTAAGCTTAATTTATAATTTACTTCTTGGTTTTTAAATTTGCTTTTTTTTTGATATTTGTATATAAATACAAACCAAAGTAATAGCAACTCTAGTATTATACAAAAAAAGATAATAGTTGACTTATGCTATTTAATTGTTATAATTTCTTTTTTAAATATTTTTTTTGTTACTACAAGCTAAACAATCAAAGTAATAGTAATTATAGCATTATATAAAAAGTACTAGTAATCTGAATATCATATAATAAAAATAGCAGTAATGTCAAATCATAGTAATAGTAATAATTCAGCTAAAATTAGTAAAGGTTACATAGTAATAAGCAATAGTATAAAACTTTTTAAAATACCAAAAAAACAAAAACATAATAAAGAAAATAAACTTTTTATGAAAAAAAAGCTTAACAGGTGCACAAAAAATAGAAATATGCTGTCTAAGAAAAAAATATTAGTTAAGTCAAGTTAGCTGAACAATTTGACATTGCTAAAGCAACAATTTCAAATATTATTCAAAAAAAGGATAGATAGTTGTTACTTGATTTGGGTTCTAATAATATTAGATTAAAATAACAAAGAGCTACAAAGTTTTTTCTGTTAGAAGAAGCACTTGCTCTTTGAGTATCAAGAGTAACTACAGTATTATAAATAATTACAGGCAATAGAATTTAATGTAAAACAGTTCAAATTACAGAAGGTCTTGATATAACAGGACTTAATGCTTCTGAGAAATGGCTTTCAAAATTCAAAAAGTGTTATTATATAAAGAAATACAAATGTCTAGAAGAAGGTGCAAGTGCATCTTTTGAAGATCTTTTTAGATTTTATGAAGAATTATATAATATAATTAAAGAGTATCAATCTGAGATGTTTATAATGCAGATGAAACAGCATTATACTGATATATGAAACCAGATAAAACACTAGTTAGTAGTTCACTTTTAGACAAAAAAAAGCCAAAAACTGTATTACAATTTTATTAATATGTAATGCAACTAGTAAATATAAACTCTCTTCTTTGTTAATACACAAATACCAAAACTTTCATGCTTTCAGAAATATTGATAAGTCAACCTTATCTGTATATTTTTATTGAAACAGTTCTGCTTGGATACAAGCATCTATTTTTAATTAATATATAAAACATCTTGATGATCAAATGTAACTTGCTAATTGGTCAATTCTTTTTATCTTAGATGGCATGTTAACTCATAGACTTTAAAAAAGCTATACTTTAACAAATGTGAAGCATCATTTTCTTCTTCTAAATATAACAGCATACCATTAACTATGTAATGCAAAAATTATTTGAAGTTTCAAGATAAGCTAAATAATTTTTTAGAAATTATTTATTTATTTTTTTTTAATAATTATTAATACTTTATTGCTAATATAATTTAGGTGTATTATAAAAAACTTTTTGCCAAAATCATATAGATTTTTATGACTTTTTTTTAGAATCTGGTAAATCTTCTGAACTGATAAATATTAAGAATGTAATTGACTTTGCAGCTGCTATTTGAAAAAATGTAATTCCAAAAACTATCCATAATTGTTAAAGAAAAACTGGCATTTTTCTAAAAGATTTTCTTGCTAAATTATTTGTTTTTAAAGAATTTAGCCAAAGTAGTAAATTTGATCTTATTGCTGAAATTCAAAATTTAATTAATCAGTTATCTTTTGACTAACTAATAAATATATATCAGTAAATAGGCACTAATAATGATCTTATTACAACTGAGATTCCAACAGATAATGAAATCATTAAAGCTATAATAAATTATGATTGCATTAAACCAAAAAATAAAAGTTTAAAAGAATCAATTTCTTTTACTCAAGCCTTAGGATTTGTTGATAGAACTTTGTTTTTTTTTAAACAACAGCCTAATGATAGTTTTAAGATTAAAGATTATTTTATTCAGAATTCAAAAAAACTTAAAAAGAAAGTAAATTTAAAGCATATTGCTTCAAAAAAACAGGTCATTTGAATAAATTTGTTTATAGTACAAATTAAAAATAAATAAATTAGCTTAATAATTTGTTATTTTGCTTTAATTACATTCTAATCTATCAATTTTTATAATTTAAAATATAAATATTGTAATATTCTGTGATTATTTTAGGCATAATGCTTTTAGAAAAAAAAATATAAATATAGTACTATACATTATTAAGCATTAAATTAAATAATACAAGTATGCTTGTAATTAGAGTTGACTATATTAATTAACTAGTTAATCTTGTATTAATTAACTAGTTAATCTTGTATTGATTAACTAAAATTAGATAACTACAATTACTAACATTAGATTTATATTAAAAGAAATTAGAATTACAATTTAATTTATTATACAAATATCAGAAAATTTTAGTAATCAAAAAAAACAAAAACTCTTTCTGCAAATCTATTATACAAAAATTAACTAAAAAATCCATTCATAATAAAATATTTATAACTATTTATTTTACTAAGAAACCTATCCTGATGTCTTAAGTAAACTTGTTCAGCTCTAGAGTTTATATATATCTTGTAAATATCATACTTTTAGTTTTTAAACTCATTGAGAAAACTTTACTAATGGCCTTTGGCCTCAGTTTTAACAATTAATTTTTTTTGCAGTTTTTATTGTAATAACATATCTTTTACTCTTAATTAAAGTTGTAATACACATTTGACTGGTCAAAACAAGCTCTAAACAAAGAATTTTAACCTAATATTGGCTGAATTACAATAAAATTTCTCTTTTATTCTTTTGTAAAACTTTTCTTTCTTCTATTTTTGTTTCTATCTGCCTTTTTTTTTCCTTACACATTTTTTATGTAACTATAATATTATTTTTCAATCCATATTTTATTAATTTATACAAAAACTTTTTGTAATCTATCTATAAATAGAAATTTATTCAACACAACATAATTATTTCTATATTTGGTTCTTATTAATTATACATAACAGTTTGTACTACAAATTTTATTTGTGTACAGTACCTGAGTCATATCAGTAACCCCAACTATTCTAGTTATACTCTGTGTTATTCCAGTAACTTCTCAACTATACAACTCCTGTTTTTTATTACTATCATTGTAAATTAATTATTTGATCACAATTTTAACTTAGAAAAATTTTCTAAAATATTACTATATTACCTATTTACTCATTCATATTCAAAAAATAACTACATTAACCAACCAAGAGCTGGATACAGCAGACCTTAACTACTTCTATCAAAACTTTTCTAACAGTTTTGGAATTGCCTTCTATAAAGAAGAAAGTGGTAACAATACTCATCCAATTCCTCCTAAACTCAAACCTACTACTTGTTTAACTAAAAATCTTAGATCTAACAAAATTACTTATTTCTTTTAAGCTCCTTCTTCTACTTCTGTGATTACTTGTCTCAGTGACAAATATCACACTAAATTCATCTCACCTACCAATACTAACCATATTCAAGCTACTAAATTTACTACAGTTTATATTAACAGCAACTCAAAAAAAAATCTAAACAGACCAACTCAACAACTTATGACTAATTTCTCTTCTTTAACTGACAGTATCCTTTCATCTCCTACACCTGACATTCACTACCATATCTGTCTTAAATACTCTCTTCCAATTGGTTGTACCAAAAGAAATGAGCATTACTACTCTAATGAAAAATATGTCACAAAGAATAATAAAATTACTATCTTGCTTATATGACTGCTTCTAAGCTTATTGATTCTTTTTTCTTTACAGCTATTAATACCAATCCTGTTCATAATCAACCTCCAATTCTTGTTATTCTTGATAACTCTAACCCAAATTCTAATAATTTTAACAACTCTAATCAATCTAACAATACTTCAAACAAATCTCTTTTTCAATTCTATTCTAGTGTTACCAAGCCAAAATCTAATCCCACATATGACTAGGTTGCAAATTTTCCTATTACTAAAGAAATACAATCTAATAAAAAACTACAAACTTCATTCTCTCTCCAACTTTTTACTTTTCTCAAAAAATTCCTCTATGATTTTTATTTTGGTAAGGAAATCAAGCCAGCTACTGCTATTCAACCTACATTTAAAGCTTCATTCTACTATATCATCTGCATTATGGCTGGGCAACAACCTGAATTCTTAACTGATCTCATCTATAATAATAACCTCAATATTGACAAAAGCACTACTATTCCCTTTGATCTTTTCAAATCTACTCTTAAAAATCTTATTCTCAAATTTACAACTATCCTTTTTACCAAACTTAACTACCTTGAAATTTTTGTCTCACCAGTTACTGTTCCTCCATATACTGCTTACAACTATTTCCAACTTTGTCTCAACCTTGCATGGCTTCATCTTTTCTTATCTAATAAT